AAAACAAAAAACCCCCCCCCCCCCCCCGTTGCATCTGGTTTGATCCGACAAGTCCAGTTTAAGATGAGGTTGAAATGGCTCGTTGATGTATGTAACGTCGTTCCAAACATTGGCCTTCATAGCAATCACGTGCTCTTCGAAGTACGCGTCGTCATATCCTATCTAGAAGAAAACTGATCAGTCTCTAAGTGGACGTGCTTGAGAGCACAGGTCAGATGCTTGAACTTCCAGGCCTTATCTCTGCTGATGCTAAGTCAAATGCTTTGCGCAATGATCTCCAACCAGTGTGCCATGTTACGAAGACACGAGGTGCACACGTTGACTGGTCGAAGGGAAAGTCAAGTGCGTAATGGGGCGCGATAGCCAGAAACAGACCCCCTTCCCAACTCCCAGGCGCAGATGAAACCTCGGAGCCGTCGTAACGGGTTGTCGTTGTATTGGTGAAGACTACTCGATGTCGCTGTATTCTGTTGCTGCTCGAGTATGTGCATACGGCCCCTAAGAGGTATGCATGGTTTTCAGCGGTGATAGTGATTGCCTATCGTTGGTATTGTATATAGCTGCCCGCTATATGAGAGCATTTTCGAATGCTAGCCAACTTGAAGAAGCAGTCCAGCGCATCCATGGCAAAAGGCGTTCAGCGTGACGTTCGATCCAATCTAACAATCGGACACACCCACGATACTGTATGTTGGTATGTTGTAGTTGATGAGGGCAACACTGCATGGCCCGCTCATGTTCCTCTTTGAAACAAAGATGATAGATGTTATCCTTCGAACTGGGAGGGGCGGGAGGGGAGCTTGTCGACCCATTCCTCCATCGTGGTGCCCCTCATCAGATCCCGGAACTTGTAGAATGTGAACGGTCTACCCCCGAGCATCCTTTTCTGCTTATCAAATTCGATCTTGTCGTGCTCAAACAGCTCAATCCTCGTCTGTTCTAGGAAATCAGGCAAATGATCACCCCAATCACAGCCAGTCTGATTTGGCCCATTGTTTGCTTTGATAACGCGATAGCTGGGAACTTCCCTGATTCCAAAAGCTCGGCTTGCTCTCCTCAGCGCTGAGCATAGTTCCTCGTCATCTAGGTCGTTTCCAGCATCACTCGCCCACTCGCGTATGGCCGCATATGTGGTGTAGGAGCCCTGGGGAATGAATGTCGCCAAGGTCAGTATGAACTTGTCCATTGGCCAAAGCTTGCTTGAGTTTGAGATCCGGGCCCGGACTTTTTGCTTCTCGGTAGACTGTACATCTTTCATTTCGGCTTCGCATTGCTTTTTGTAGGCCTCGATAGCTGAGATAGCATCTTTTCGGAAGCTCTGCAAGCGATCGTGGTTGCTGTCGAGTGGTGGTTCCTCTAGATAAGCCTTTGTGTATGGGTAGGCGTCTATTAGTTGAGGTGTAGTCCTAAGTCGCCCTAACAGGACAAGCTGGTGTGGCAGAGTAGCGAATGCTTTATCGCTAATAAATTCGATCGGCGCGAACGGATCATGAGGCTGTTGGCCGGCTGTCAAACGAGCTCTCTCCTCGTCTTCTTGATGCGAAATCAACTCCACCACCCTGGAAGTTTGCGACCAATCGAATTGGACGTTGGCGACATTGTTCGTGGGTTGATCGATGGCCATTTGGTCTTGATCTCCAAGATTGGGTGGATCGCGGTTTGGGGCATCATCCGAAGTAAGCAGATCATCAAAGCCATGTCCTTGCATCATGGTCCAACAATGCTGTTCTATCTCTAGCAACATTGCATTGCGGACGCGTTTCCTCTCTTCGATAAATCCTTTTTGAATCTTGTGTAGGCGCGTGATCTGATCTCGATGATAGGCAAGCGCCTTATGAACGATGTCGGTCCTCGGGAGCTGGACAAGCCTCTGGACTCGTTTGAGATTGAATTCGATCTTTATCTTGACGCGCTCTTCGCGATCGATCGTGGTCTCTCGCCTAATCTCCTTTCTGATCTTCTTGTTGTTTGGCATGGTCGGATGATGTGTTGATGTTGTCGAACGCGACGGCTGGGAGGTGTCTAGAGCGTCCAAACGCGTGAACGCGTCGACGCGTCAGGGATGATCGACAGGGCTGTTAGCGTCAGCAAGGTATCTGACTCCGCGACCCCGCGTCGTAGCCTCTTCCTTCAACCTTTCCATGTTTGCCGCACGTCTCTTCTTTAGGATGTTTTGGATAAACTTGCAAAGCGCCGAGCGTTTCCCCGGTTGCTGGAAAACCAGAAGTCATTCAACTCCGTCCTAAGCCATGATCCGTCCTAAGCCCTGCGCCGTCACCAACCACCCTCTATCCGATCACGCCTCTTTGCACACCAGTGTTGTGTCGCAAAGAAAGAAAAGAGACTGTTAGCTCTACTGGAACCTACTATCGCGAAAGCAGCTGACAGCGTGGGTGCTTACTGGGCATGGAATCGACTAGTACGACCCCGCTGCCAGCCTCCGTCCAGATTTCCAATTCCCATGAGCTGTGATAGATGAGCAATGGTGAAGTTTGCCGTCCCCTTGAGCCCATGTATGTACCTAAAACATTGTCGAATCTGGAGTCCGTTAATATTTGCCAAGCCGGCTTGATTATAGCCACGTAACCGCTCGGCGCTCGGGTATATAGCAGAGACTTTCATCCCAAGTTTCCTTTAGTAGTCATCCAGTTGATACACTCAATTTTATCCGATCCGGTCTCTCCAGTTCCAACAGATATTCAATACACATCTTCTTCTTCCAGTACCTAGCCATCTCCTACAATGCTGGATCACATCGGCCTCACCGTCCCAGCGTCGCGATTCGAGGAAGTCACGGCCTGGTACCTGGCCGCGCTTGCACCGCTCGGTTACAGCAAACAGATGGATTTTGGTGGACAGGGTGTTGGCCTAGGCCCAGACAGGTTGAACACCGTTTTCTGGATTTTCGGCAAGGGCGATGCTGAAGCAGCTGCGACACACTTCGCATTTCGATGCACTGATCGAGATGCAATTGAGAAGTTCCATCAAGAGGGGGTGAAAGCCGGTGGGAAAGACAATGGGAAGCCGGGCTTGAGACCGTATCATCCAAACTACTACGCTGCCTTTGTAGTGGATCCTGTTGGGTAAGTGTCGTCGCCAGTTGGTGGTAACTGCATTCGGCTGACAGGTCTAGAAACAATGTCGAAGTCGTGAGTCACGATGTGCCGCAATAAGTTCAAGCAACAGGAGCATGTATGCCTCGACAATATCTTTAGACGTCAATGAGATTGAGCATCTGATGGTGATCGATTTGAGGTGTAGCCGTCTCTATACCGCCTGCCCGTTTGACTGCTGCCAAGACCCGCGTTTGTTCACAGCTCCTTCCACCCAAATCACACTCTTGCCTTCTCAACATCATCTTCGACCTCGCGCCATGCCAGTGATGTCCAAAACAGACCGCCTGCAAGGTCTGCTCGACTTTGCTCGCCAGGCCAATGAGGTCGAGCAACATCGCGTCTCGCTCGAGACTTTCCTCGCTGGCATTCAGCAAGAGGATCAAGACCTCGATGAGGCACAGCTGAAGCAGATTCAGGCAAGCCAACGTATGCCAAGCCACCTACCTTTGCTAACAGGTCAGCTCACCATCTACCAAACGCTCCTGGGTCTTTTCAATACCAGTATGTATGACCACGCCATCTACGAGAACCTTCCTAAACGTAAACCAGACGATTCGATCTCAAAGTCCACTCAAACCTCCGCAATGACAGCCTCATGGGCGACGCAGACCGACGCGGCGACAGACTCCCTTTGGGATCTATTGCCTAAAGCTCGCGAAGAAGCCTTCCAGCGCGGCCTCGATGCTGGAAAAGACGACGGACACATCCAAGGAATCAAGGAAGGCCACAGCGCTGGTATGACGGAAGGCCTGGCTATCGGGCTCAAGCAGGGGCAAACGGAGGGCTTGAAGACAGGGTTAGATCAGGGCAAGGAGGTCGACATGCAACGCGGCATCGAGATAGGAAGAAAACTCGGCTATGCTGATGGTCTCGCTGAGCGCCTGAGACAAACAAAGGAGAAGATGAAGAAGCTGGACGAAGAAGACACCAGCAGGCACATACCACAGGTAGAAGCGACTCGCGAGAAGATCATCGTGAAGCTACCTTCAAGGTTACCCGCAATGATCATCAAGGAGGGGAAGGAGGAAGAGGCTAAGCCCATACCGATGATCAATGGTATCGACCCATTTGCGTCACTTTTGGGTCTGGCACGCAGGAAGTAAATGTGCGTTTGGAGGAGATAGGAAGGAATGTATACAAAAGGAAGATACCCAATGGAGCCAGGCGAAGCACAGTCAGTATATCTTTGATTAGGCTTAAGTTAATCTACTGCGGCTTGACATGAAACTTTGCAGACCACAACTACTTAGCAGCCAAGACTATGACCCCACGAATACCTGAGATTCAAAAGCCGATGTTTAAATCGTTAATCCAGCGGCGCATACGCGCACGTAAAGCGCATCGCAGCGGAAACTTCAATACACACGTGTCACATGAAGTGCCAGCAAATTTACGACATTCAGTAGCGATATCAGCCTGTGGCTAGATCTAATAGGTGACAGCAACATATGATATCAGCGCTTCGCTTTCGCGAACTATCAGTCACATGCTCCGGGTAGTCTATAGATCACTTCATTCCACGACTGTTGAGCGTTGTAGTTTCCAGAATGTATAAGAGTTATCTCACACTCGCGCTCCCACATGGCCCACTCACTCATCTATACTAACACAACAAAAGCTCGATCAAACTCTTGCCACAAGATGTCTAACCTCATGTGGCCTGTACACGACCAGGTCCTCGAAGGAAGCTGGGAGATAGCGCGCGAGATATTATCGCGAGTCGACTCCATCCACCAGCGCCTTAATCGAAGCCTCCAGTACAGTAACGATCGCGAAGAACGAGCCAGCATCAGAGCCAAGCGGAAAACACTTCGCACATATGCCGTCCTCTGTGAACGAACATGGGAGCTCTACGAGTGGGCCCGCAATGATGAAGGAAAAGCCGCGCGACCAGAACATCCTTGGGATACTGAACCAGCAGTGCAGTCGAAATATGCGGAGGCTTTGGGATTAACGAAGGATGAACAGCCTATATCCCCGATGAGGGGCGTGATAGAGCTACATCAGAAGTTGCAGGAAGCCTTTGAAACAGGAGCGGAATTGTTCTATTGAAACACGCGCTCGAATGAATTGATATATTGGACAGTAATAAACACCGTCATATCTCCTTAACCCTCTCCATTAAACCCTCAACCATTGCATCCAGCTTCTGAACCACATCCCACGGCGCCTCTCCCTCCCCTGTACTAACACCCATAGCCTCGCCATACACATTCCCCCAAGCAGGATACCTTAGCATCGGACTCCTCGGATGCCAGTCTTTTCTCCATCTTCGCTCTTCGCTCTTCAATGTATTGATCCGCGCTAACAACTGATGTACTTCTACTAATGTAGGAATGTGTGCTGCGCGACCGATGCTGTATTGTTTTGAAGGCGGTGTAACGGCTTCGGCAGCTCGCCATCGGGCTTCGATATCGAGGGCCATTCGGTGTAGGTTCAAGGCGCGGGCTGAAACGGAGTAGAGGAGGTAGTCGTGTTTGGCCCATGCGGCTTCGTCATAGGGGATGTTCGGTGGAGGTGGACTGAGGTAGTGCTTTATGGTGGGACGAGGTGCTGAGGCTGAGGAGCGTGGTGTCTCGGTGAGAGATCTGGGAGGTTGCGAGGAGGAGTGTGATGTATGTGTTGCGGAGTAAGGTGCGCCATCGGATGCGCGTGGCGCACCGGTGGTAGAGTATGGTGCTCTGTCTGAAGAGCGTGGCGTTTGAACGGAGCCCGACGATGGCAGTTCCGAGTAGCGAGAGCCGTGGAACGATGGTTTTCGCGCTGGAGTCGAGAAGTGAGAGGGTTGGTACGAGGACTGCGGACTGTTCTTCGGTGACTCAGCTGAGCGATGAGCGGCGATCTTGGATGAGAACTTGCGCAACATGCTCTTGAGGTTGATGTCAGTGATTGGTTGACGATGGAAGTCCTACCTTGTCGAGGGGATTGTGGATATACTGACAATGATGAGCCTGGCAGGAAGGCGCCATTCACCATATCTGCCATTGACTGTGTAGGCTCATCATGCTATTCCAGGTTTTTGCATACCTGCAGTGAATTAAGTGACTTGAAGACGGGAATGTGAAGCAAAGCCTCAACCTATGCGCGGCCAAGTAAAACAGTACATGTATTCTCACCGCCAAACCTGGCGACATGCCAAAAGCCATTTTACTTCAACTAGGAACACCCTCATACTCCCAACCGTCGACTAATCTTCTCTTTCTTCCTCTCTTATTCTCTCTCCGGTTCGCTGCACACTTGATGAAAAAGGTAAGCACAGCCAGCAGGAAGATAATTACAGCCGCAACTGTCGGCACAACGACAATACGCGTACGGTTGGTGTCAGTAGTAGGAAGATATGGACACGTCGCATTGAGTCCAATGACCCAGCAATCCGGCACACTCAGACTGTTCATGTTGATGTACAGCGCATCTTCACCAGGAGCGGCAGCTTGCCAGGCAGAATAGAGATGTGAGTTCTCCAGCGCGGTGTGAGGTACGCTGAACTGATATGGGTCCCGGCAATAACCCTCAGCGTTCGCGTAGTAGGTTGAGTCGTCCGATACACGCCAATTATAGGGTTGTCGTGGATCGTGGCAGGCCACGCGATGGCGTTGGTTGCAGTCTTCTATGCGCCAGCGCTGTGGATATGGCGACTTCATCATGACGACGCAACGGTTGTCGTTTGTGTCATCGCCTTCTCCAGAGGAATTGAGAGGCTGGCCAGGTGCGAAGGTCCATAGTGTTGAGTGTACGTATGCGGCGTAGGGTAAAGGATTCTTGTCTGCAGTTGTGTTTGCGAGGGTTTGATTGAGGAAGGGTGTGATGCCGCAGGCGGTAAGATTGGTAATGGAAGGTATCGTTGACTGAAAGTCTGGCGTCGCGCTAATATCAAATGATGGTGCATCAGCGAGAGCCCAAGACGAGTTTCTTGTTGAAGTCAAGGTGTTGTCGGAAGACGCAAACAAGCATCCAGAAGTTACACGCCCATCGGAGCCAATTGATACTGACTGCTCGTCGATGATGGTTCCGGGAGGGAAAACGTATTCGAGATCTGGTCCGAAGTTGTACTTGTCCATTTGCGGATCAATCGTGCCGTAACTAACGACAACCCGACGTAGCTGCTTGAACTCCATGAAAGCTTCTGTAGGCCATCCACTTTGTGTGAACAGCTGTCCGTCGGCATTTTTGGAGTCATCGTAGTAACCAATCAATGGGCGGTTAGACCAATCAACGTCATACCACGAACTGTTTAAGTTTGCGCGTTGGTCACCCAAGGCGTTTGGCGTAAGGGTGTTATCGGAAAGATTACCCTGCAACACATCACTAAGGAGTTGCCCGTCTTCAGGAAGCTGGTCTTGGGCAAGGTTCGATGCTGGGGCGTCCGGATCGGTGATGGACGAGGCAGCATGCACGTTGAACGTGAACATGGTTATCTCAGCATCAGTCGTAGTAGCTGTAATCTCGAGAAAGTCCTCTATGATGCCCGTGAGCAAATCCAGCGTCATCAGAGACGTACAATTGTAGCTCCCGATTTGCAGGAGCGGTGGTCCATTGGGGGTGGGAAAGTCGATTATGGTTGGCGTTGCTGCACTCGTCGACGATGTAGAAGACGAAGATGGGGTAGATGATACCGCGTTTGTTGAGCCTGGTGATGACTCTGCAGACGCAGGAGCTGATGTCAACGTCTCCTGGCGTTTTCCAAGCTGTGGAGGAATTTCCACTGTAGATAGAGGAGTATCCGCACTCAATCTGTTAGTTGTAGGCACCACTGTTGGTCCCGTCGCTACTGGTAAAGCACCCTCATCTGAGCTGTCTTCATTCGACTGGGGTAACTCCACTGGACATAGACTCCATACTGAACGTAGCGGATCCCAGTAAGTATCGACCGTGAATTGTCGAAAGCCGACAGCTAACAAGTTTGAGAAGCACTTTTGGAAAGCATTATGTTCGTACTGGTTATTCGTGAAGCAGGCTTGAGCTAACGATACAGCTGGCGTAGTATGGAAGTTGATGGGAAGTTGAAGTCCTACATCTCGTTGTGCCTACCACCAGTCAGCGATTCTGTTCGCTGATAC